GATTGTAGCTCTGGGCAAAAGCAGTTAAAATGCATCAGGCATGTATTAGATGCTAACTGACGTTATAAATAAAGTTTAGAATGCATACAAATTAGTTAATCCCTTCCAATTATATAGAATACAGGATTACCAGAATTGATGCAATATACTGGTACAGTGAATTCTAGCATAATGCGATATTTAACAATGGGAGACATTTTAAAGAAAAACTAACAAAAATATAAGGATTTTTCTAGCATTATCCAATCTTTTTTTATACATTTAAATTTTTTTTAAATTTTACTTTAAGTTCTGGTATACATGTCCAGAATGTGCAGATTTGTTACATAGGTATACATGTGCAATGGTGGTTTGCTGCACCTGTCAACCCATCATCTAGGTTTGAAGCTCTGCATGCATTAGGAATTTGTCCTAATACTCTCCCTCCCCTTCCCCCTCACTGCACGACAGGCCTCAGTGTGTGTTGTTTTCCTCCCTGTGTCCATGTGTTCTTATTGTTCAACTCCCACTTACGAGTGAGAACATGCAGTATTTGATTTTCTGTTCCTGTGTTAGTTTGCTGAGAATGATGGCTTCCAGCTTCATCCATGTCATTATCCAATCTTTATTATTTATTTTCCAAAGCCAATCTATCTGTTATGATTTTGACACTTACCAAGATGAAACACTAGTTCTATGTTATAAATTGCTTTATGGAGGTTTACAACTTCTCAGGGATGTTAAAATTAGAGCCCTCAACATCAAGCAAGGGGATTTCATTGATAACAATATTAAAGAAACTTCTTGGATAGCATTAATATTTATTTCATTACTTGCTTGAAAAAGTTATATGAGCAATGGTTGACATTTAATGAAATTCGGGGCTTCACATAAAGAAGATATATCCCAAAGTATAGTAGCACATTTTACTTAGGGACATGAAGGGAAATAACAGATAGCTGAGAGGGAGTATTTCACTTAAAATTGATACTTCAAAGCACAACATTTATCCATTTAAATAACAAATATTCATTAAGCATCTACTATGTACTAGGTAGTATCTGAGGTATTGATGTTACAGTAGTGAATAAAACAAACCTCAGAGAGTGTGTAAGCTCACTGTCACCCAGCACAGGAAAAACTCAATTGACAAATGATACGTGAGAATTGCCTAAAAGAGATGTGGTTCATTAATTTTTCTAAATCCTCTAAAACATACCACTGGATTTCGCCAGACCACTGGAGAGTGATATACTCTGAATGCCTTATTTCACTTTTTATAGAATTGTTTTATTGGGCTTTGCTTTTGTGGTATGAAATCAGAATCAATAAAATGGCTCAAACTTTTATTTACATTAGGAAGCATCTGAATTGTTCACCGCATTACATTCTGGTCTTTAGGAGAACCTACAGGAGAAATTTCCTCTGAAGTATCATAACTAGGAATCAGTACTCTTCTATGTTACCAGTTTGTTTTTAAATTACAATGCTTGTGAATCAAGTTATCCTTGAGAACAGAGACAAATTTGTGGACGCCTTTCAGTAGGCTTACTGAACACAACTTTAGTTTCATCTGATTTTTCTCTGTCCTACTCTTCACATTTATATTTTTAAAAATTCTGTTGTATTTAGTATTTGGGTAAGCCATAATATTTTTCAGAGTATAAAAATATATAGATGGATGGATCAGTGTAGGTACAGTTGCCCTCCATATTGCTGGTTCAACATCTGTGGATTCAATCAACTGAGGATCGAAAATACAGTATTTAGGGTTCTGCAGGGCTGACTGTATTCTTTACAAAGTTCTTTATCTTTCTCTAAACGTAATTCAGGCAGGAGAGTTAATTCTTTCTGAAGATCTTCTAAAGAATTTGGGCATATAGACAGATACAAACCTTATATGTTTTAGAACATAAAAGAAAAAATATATCATGGTGATGCCACTGAAAGGCATTGATGCTGATGGTGGTGAGTTGGTTGGGGTAGGTGGATGGATGTCAGACTCTCTATACTAGATACAAACTGATCTTTTCAATAGGATATTCCTAAATAAGGTACAAATACACTCTTGCTCACATTTGTATCAAACATTTTACATAAAACATTAGAACCCTTCTATTTTCATTTTCTCTTCCTCTTAAGCTGTTTGGTGTAGTAAAAGATCATCATCTATGACGTCAGACAATGACACTACACAGTTAAGGTCAATAACAATAGGAGCTGGATCTATTTCAGCATCTAGTTCAGAGCCCAACATATAGTATGTGCTCAACAAATATTTGTTGAATAAAGAAGTGAAGGAATAAATGAACCAATCTATATGTGAAACTTGGCTTTACTACATAGTTGCTATGTGAATTAGAAGAAAATATTTAACCTATTTCCAGAGTACTTATGAATATAATGGAGGTAATAATAAAACATACCTACACCTTATAAGAGGGCTCTGAGAACTAAATGATAAATCACTTAGCATAGAGTAGGTATTCAATACATGTTAGTTCTTCCTATGCTTCTACTTTCCAATTCTTCTTACATCCTTGCAGTTCTGCACATATCAGTTAGAGAATAGAAATAATACAACAATCCAGAAACTACCTGCAAACAGTAGTAGAGAACCAAAGACTAGGAAAAAGAGAATGGAGAGCAAGAACCCAGATGCAAGAGCATTGGCAAATGCCAGGTAGGAAGTAGAATACTGAAATTAGGGATCTAAACTAGGGAGCAGGTAGCTGAATGAGATGGGGACTGGAAGATAGACAAGAGAGCAAGAGCTGAGTACAAAGACCTGTAAACCATAAATGGGGAGATGCAACTAGAAAACAAAGAATAAGAGAATAAAACTTAATTACAAATATAACAAGAGAAAGATACCTGTTTATTAGAAAATCCGAACAGAAGAATGGTTTGAGGAATGTAGCTTTATCACTTTCAATCACATATGCTAGTACAATATAGACAAATAAAGGTTATCTGTATCTGTTAATGAATAGATAACACAAGTATTCATTATCAACAGACTGTTCATTATCAATGGCAAAAAAGATGCCATTAAAAGCTTGAAACCATTTTTTCCTTAACTAGCTTAAAGTTCTGTTTTCCTCTTACACATTATTAACTTGGTTACTAAATTCTTTTATTCCTTGAAAGATGGTAGAAATTTATGGTCTTACTTCAGGTGTCAGTATTTCTGAACTAGTAGGCCTAAAATATAAAAGTTTAATTGGATATAAAAAGATTAATTTAGATGAATTAATATTTATCTTTGACATCTAAATATTTCTCCAATATGAAAGTTGCAACCTTCTGTGAAAAATCACATAATTGTGATCTTTTTTTTTTCCTTGCTACTTTGAGGATAACATTAAAGTCAGAAAGATGCTTAAAAGACTGCTAAGTTGTAAAAACAGTGTCAAAAACAATGATTCAGTAATTCAGGTACCTTGTTGATGAAATTGTTCATATTTTAACTTCATAGGAAAAATGACCTTAAAAAAGATATTGCTAACAGACAATGATGTTTAAAAATGTACAGAACATATGGTTGGGCATAGTGGCTCATGCATGTAATTCCAACACCTTGGGCAGCCGAGGTGGGTGGATCACTTGAGGTCAGGAGTTTGAGACCAGCCTGGCCAACATGGTGAAACATCATCTCTACTAAAAAATACAAAAATTAGCCAGGCGTGGTGGCATGCACCTGTAGTTCTAGCTACTCGAGAGCCTGAGGTAGGAGAAACGCTTGAACCCAGGAGGCAGAGGCTGCAGTGAGCCGAAACTATGCCATTGCACTCCAGTCTGGGCAACAAAGCGAGACTCTGATTTAAAAAAAAACCATAAAGAATATATAATAGATAAATCTAAATGTGCAGAAATACTTTACGTGCATAACGACTCTGTGAAAAATCACTTAGTATAGTGCTTTCACTTATTTTTATAGACAAGATTTTATTAACAGAGCAGACAAATTTATGTATTAGTACTCACGTGCTTGTAACCTGAGTAGGTAGATTTCATAAAATTTCCTCCTCATAATTACTGCAGTGCCCTCTGCTGATTAAATAATCTTAAATAACAAAGACTATCTTTGTAATACCAGCTAATGACTACTGTTAATAACTTTGTTAAGTTATCAAGGTGAGATGTAGTTAGAGCAGGGTTTCTCAAACTTTAGTGTGCATCAGAATCTTCTAGAGGCCTTGTTAAAATACAGATTGCTGGTCCCCACTTTCAGAGATTCTGATTCAGAATTTCTAGGTGCCTCAAAATTTACATTTCTAACAAGATTCCAGGTGATGTTTCTGATGCCGGTCAGAAGACCACACTTTGAAAAACATACTGCTGATGGAAGGAATGATGTAGATTAATGACAATATGTACCATTTGGTCTTATCTTTATAATCACTTTATGTTCAACTTTGTAGATTGATGTAAATGTGACAATCCTTCATCAGAACAGAATATAGATTTAGTGAGGAGATAAATTAGGTAAAAATAGGCAGTTTAATGCCAGCCACTTACATTTTGCTGACTTCTGCTTATTAAAGGACACATTAATTTCATTTAACATTTTTAAAAAGAGTTATAATAAACTAACAGTTCTGACACTGCTCCTATGAGAACAGAATTTAGTGAGGAGATAATTTAGGTAAATATAGCCAGTTTAACACCAGCCAGTTACATTTTCCTGACTTTTGCTTATTAAAGGACAAACACATTAATTTCATTTTACATTTTTAAAAAGGGTTATAATAAACTAACAATTGTGAGGCTGCTCCTATAAGTATTCTATGGTACGGAGTAGGTATCCTTAAAATATTTTTCTTGGGACATCATGTAGTAGATAAAAGTTACATCCACGACAAACTCCCAAAGATGTTCAATGAGTACTTGTTATAAATCTACCTTTTTCTCATTCAAGAAACACAGCAGAATGGAAGAGTCACATTATTGTAAGAGCAGTCTCGAATTTAGTCTAATTAATTAAAATCATTCATTTACAGATTTTATTTTTATTTTAGTTACAAACAAGTTTCAACCAATCATAACCACATCAACTTATAATAATATGACCAAATGGTCAAAGACTACTGCTACAAAGACAGAGAAGATGCAATCTGGAAATCAAGGTAATTGTAAAAGGTATCTCACTTTTACTTGGGAGATATTATCTTATTGCTAATGAACATCTTTTCTTGGGGTTTTAATCTTCTTAAATGTTTACATCTTCTTCAATTCCTGGAAGAAGCAGATAACTTTTCATGTGAAGAGAAGAAGATCTGTTTTTTTTTTTTTCCGTTCAAATTGTACAATATTTAAATAAGATCTGCTTGTGATGAAAGGTCAAAGGAGACAGTACCATGGTAGGAAGGACACAGGAAGAAAAGAGTACAAATTTACATACTGCAGGCATTTTGTTTTCCATTCCATTCAATGAACATATACTTTGCAGTGAGCATGAAATGGTGTCTGAGTTGGTAGTTTTTAGTTTAATTCAGTTCCAATGGTTAATGAATCGCTGTGCCAGGTAAGGTTCTAATGTTTAAAGGTAATTATTCCTCTTTATAAAGCATGCCAACCAATCTACCTAATTCAACCAAAGAATTTATTTCAATGCTGGGGTAAAAAGTGGTTGTTGGGCTTACTGAGATTAATATGTCTTTGAAAGATTTTCAAGTTTTTCTCACTTTAACTATGAAAAATCTCACTGTATTTGCTAACATTTAGATCCCAACCCTTGTTCAAGAACCAACTCAAGTACATAGCAGTGAACACTCCTTAGCATCACAACTTTTCTCTTTACACGTTATTTTCCAATAATTTTTATCTAAACATTAATTTGATAATTAAATTATCAAACCATAAAACGGGAACTCAGGTGAACAAATCACTTTTTATAAGAGATTTTCATGGGAATACTTATCTTCATATTCCACTTATATAAACAGTACTACTTTGTATCTCATTCCAGGAAAAGATGAGAGAATACTGATATTCCTATGGATTGTTAGCATTTTTATATATGGAATATGTATGTATTCATTAATGGTAGAATGTTGGCTACATATGTCTTTCAACCTACGTTAAAAATAAAGTTACTCATTCCCGTTCTTCAAAAGTTGATATGTAGATATGTGGGGGAAAAGTTCAGGAAATCTAATACACAGCATGGTGACTATAGTTAATAATACTATACACCCTAGGATTGGGATTTTTTTCAGGTTTGGACAACAGGCAACTGAAAAGTGACTTTATTAGGGCAGCTGGTGGGAGTGGGGTAGAAGAAACTGGTTGTATCTAGTGGCACCAACCACATTTAATTACCTGGTCAGAATGGGTGGAAATGACTACCCCCACTAACACACACACATATGTAAAAACACTACTGAGACTGCACATTTATAGCATTTCCTCCTTTGATGCTACCTTGATGTTCATTTTAACCCAATGTCATGCTTTCAAAGTTATACACTTAAGAGTGTCTCAGGTTATAAAAGAGCCAAACCAAACTTAAGAATTAATCAACAAAAAAATTAAAAAATTTAGGCTTACAAAATAAACTTGAAAGATTTTGTAGGCAGGCAATACTATTTTATATTGAGATGATTATGAATAGCCTATACTCAGATCTTCTCTTCCATTTCTTTTCACATAATAAAAATTAAATATACAAGAGAAGAGGGTATCCAAAGGAGGAACAATAAGTGGGACAGATGGAAACTGACATTTTACTCAACACTGTAATAAGAACATATATAGGCTTCTTCTATACCTAATCAGGTTTGCTTCTAAGAAAGCACAGAAAACAAAGAAATGCTTCATATCCCTATGAAGAGTATGTTATGTCCTGATCTCTCAGGGTTTTCTTTCCTGGTTTTTATTTTTTTGTATTAACACAAATTGCCCAGAGACTATCAGACTTTTTGTAATCTTCCTGAATAATTTAGCTTGAAAATTCTGACAAAGTTTTAATTTTCCTGGGTATGCAGTAGGTACATAAATTTGGGGGTTACATGAGACACTCTGATAAAGGCATGCAATGCATAATAATCACATCATGGTATATGGAGTATCCATCCCCTCAAGCATTTATCCTTTGTGTTACAAGCAAGCCAATTATATTTTTTATTTAAAATATATAATTGAATTATTATTGACTACAGTCACCCTGTTGTGCTATCCAACTCCAGGTTTTTTCATTTTTTTCTAACTACTTTTTATATTTAGTCCCCTTGCTTCCTCACTACCATCCTCAGCTGGAAATAATCCTTCTACTATGTATCTCCATTAGTTCAGTTGTTTTCATTTTTAGCTCACACAACTGAGTGAGAACATGTGAAGTTTGTCTTTCTGTGCCTGGCTTCACAAACATAATGACCTCCAGTTTCATCCATGTTGGAAATAACAGGTTCTCATTCTTTTTTATGGCCAAATAGAACTCCATTGTGTAGATGTACGACATTTTCTTTATCCATTCATCTGCTGATGGACACTTCGGTTGATTTTACATATTGGCTATTGTGAACAGTGCTGCCAGAAACATGAGCGTGCAGATATTCCTTGAAATATGATTTCCCTTTTTTTTTTTTGAGACAGAGTCTCGCTCTGTTGCCCAGACTGGAGTGCAGTGGCACAATCTCGGTTCACTGCAATCTCTACCTCCTGGGTTCCAGCGATTCTCCTGTCTCAGCCTCCTGAGTAGCTGGGATTCCAAGCATGTGCCACCATGCCCGGTTAATTTTTATATTCTTAGTAGAGACAGGGTTTCACCATGTTGGCCAGGATGGTCTCGAATTCCTGAACTCAGGTGATCTGCCCGTCTTGGCTTCCCAAAGTGCTGGGATGACAGGCATGAGCCACCACACCCAGCCCTGATTTCCATTCTTTTGGGTACATACCCAGCAGGGGAATTGCTGGATCATATGGTAGCTCCATTTTTAGTTTTCTGAGAAACCTCCAAACTGTTCTCCATGGTGGTTGTACTAACTTAACATTCCTACCAACAGTGTACGAGGGTTCCCTTTTCTCGAATCCTCACCAATATTTGTTATGCCCTGTCTTTTGGATAAAAGCCATTTAATTGGGGTGAAATCATATCTCATTGTGGTTTTGATTTGTAGTTCTCTGATAATCAATGATGCTGGGTATCTTTTCATAGTCCTGTTTGCCATTTGTATATCTTCTTTTGAGAAATGTCTATTCAGATCTTTTGCCCATTTTTAATTGGATTATTAGATCTTTTTCCTATAGAGTTGTTTGAGTCTCTTATATATTCTAGTTATTAATCCCTCATCAGGTGGCTAGTTTGCAAATATTTTCTCCTATTCTGTGGGTTCTCTCTTCACTTTGTGGATTGTTCCTTTGCTGTGCAGAAGCTTTTAAATTTGTAATCCCATTTGTCCATTTTTGCTTTATTTACTTGTGCTTATGAGATATTACTCAAGAATTTTTTGCATAGACCAACGTCCGGGAGAGTTTCCTCAATGTTTTCAAGTAATGGTTTCATAGTTTTTGAGGTCTTAGATTTAAGTTTTTAATCCATTGTGATTTGATTTTTGTATGGCAAGACATAGGGGTCTAGTTTCATTCTTCTGCATATACATATTCAGTTTTCCCAGTACCATTTATTGAAGAGACTGTCTTTTCCTGGGTGCATGTTGTTGACATCTTTGTCAAAAACGAGTTCACTATAGGTGTAGAGATTTATTTCTAGATTCTCTCTTCTGTTCCGTTGGTTTATGTATCTGTTTTTATGCCAGTACCATGCTGTATTAGCTACTATAGCTCTATAATATACTTTGAAGTCAGGTAATATGATTCCTCCAGTTTTGTTATTTTTGCTTAGGATAGCTTTGGTTATTCTGGGTTTTTCGTGGTTCCAGATAAATTTTGATTATTTTTTCTATTTCTGTGAAGAATATCATTGGTGTTTTGATAGGGATTGCATTGAATCTGTAGATTGCTTTGGGTAGTACGAACATTTTAACAATATTGATTTTTCCAACCCATGAACATGGAATAACTTCCCAGTTTTTGGTGTCCTCTGCAATTTCTTTCATCAGTTTTACAGTTTTCATTATAGAGATCTTTTACTTAATTCCTAGGTATTTAATTTTCTCTCTGGCTACTGTAAATTGGACTACCTTTTTTTTTTTTTTCTTTTTCAGATTGTTCACTGTTGGCATATAGAAATGCTACTGATTTCTGTATGTTCATTTTGTATCCTGCCACTTTACTGAATTTGCTTCTCAGTTCTAATAGTTGTTTGGTGGAGTCTTTAGTTTTTTTCCAGATATAATATCATATCATGTGAAAACAAGGATAATTTGACTTCTTCCTTTCCAGTGTGGATGCCCTTTATATCTTTCTCTTGTCTGACTGCTCTAGCTGGAACTTCCAGTAGTATGTTGAATAACAGTGGTGACATGTTATGTTAATGTTATGTTAATGGTAATAAAGACATTGATGTTAATGGCATATGTTGGGACTTTGCATAAAACCTTTCAAAAACTTGCCATGAAAAAGAATCAGTTGTCCTAAATAATACACTATTTTCAATGAGCCTTTAAATTTATATTTGTGTTTTAAATTAGTGAACCTAAGTGTTTCACTATTTTATCTAAATTGCTAAAAGTATGTACATTTAAGATGGATAATCCCCCCATTTATGGATCTTCTCATTGGGAAAATAGGTGTCTCATATTATAGTTGCTGTCATCTTCCATTCAGGCATCTGCAGTTAATAGCTTAGACAGAAAAGACATTTTTCCATTATTTAGGATAAAAGGGATGTGAACTTGAAATGAGGTTTAAGTTACTGGACTCATGACTGAAAGGTATTGAGACTGAAGATTACACTAATAATATCTGGCTACTCCTGTGATGGCAACATTTAGATAAGAATGATTTGCAATGATTAGACAGGTTATATTGTTCTTTGATTTTAACAAATATTTGGATTAAGGGACTCAATCTTTGCTGCAACTAATACATTTTAATTCTCTCTCACTTAAAACTAGTAAAGTCTCAATATTTTCTTGATTGAATACAAGATGATATCAAAGTACTTTTAAAAGTTTCTCAGTTGTTGATTTTAGGACTTCATTTGGTGATAAAATGACAAGGAACA